GAGAAGAGCAAGTTGGAGAGATTCACCTTTCTGGATCGCCTTGCTTACCCTGCCAGGGCGGCAGCAAGAGACACCCCGAGGAAGAGAATACCCCCCCACCCCCAAAGGCGAGCCGCACCCCGAGCAGCGCGCATGCCGATGGCGCTCGCGGCGTGTGTCGGGAGGGAGGGAGAAGAGGACGAGGAGGACGAGGGGGGAGGGAGGAGTAGGACTACAGTAGGAGGAAGAGGAAGGACGGTGGAGAAAAGTTAACACGATATTTCAATATGCTACTGCGGCCTCTCTAAACCAGAGTCGGGACAACTAAAAGGATAACAGCATGAGGATGATGATGATGAGGAGGAGGAGCTGGATTTGGAAGACGTTTTTAGACGGGGATGCGACGGGAAGGAAAGGCACGAGAGGAGAAGACGAAGTGAAGAGGACGAGGAGGGATGAGGGAAGAAGGTGCGACGACGAGGATAAGAGAAGATATTCAGGAGGCGGACAAGACGAGCATACGAGGTGTGGAGAAGGGAGGGGCGGACGACGAGGATGAAGGCGGCCGAGGCAGCGTGCGAGCGCGACCGGCCCAGCGCAGGTCGCTGACATCCCTCCTGTCCCCTCCTGCGGCATGGGCGGCGGGGGCGGCGGGAACTCGACAGCCTCGGCCGCGGCCGGGGCTGCTGAGGGCTTGACGGCTTCTGCTGTCCGTCGATTCGTGCTGGGCGTGCCTTTCCTCCTCCGTCTCTCCTCCTCCACCTCCATCTACCTCCAAGCCTCCCCTGCTCGTGACGTCCTGCTCCTGAAGTCCTCAACCCTCCTACTTGCTCCTGCTCCCTCCTCCCACCTCCTTTCCCCTCTTTCTCTCTCGGTACTCACCCTCTTATGATAACCTCTACGGCGACTCTGCCAGCTGGCTCAGCAGGGCCCAACAGTCCGCAACGTGGCTCCTCCGTCCTCCCTCCCTTCCTTCCTCTTGGCGGGCATGGGCTAGGGCTAGGTCGTGCGGAGCATCTACACCCTGGCACCCCTGCTGCTAGATACGGCGTGTTCCTGCCAGCAGCCAGTGAGTGCCGCACCAAGCTGACCGCCCCCATCGGCGACCCAGAGCGCAATTCCCAACAAAAATCCTCCCTCCCGTCCCTCCTCCCTACCTGGATTCGACACCCCCTCCGCCCCCTCCGTGCCTCCCTACCCTCCCTCCTCCCTCTTCCCTCCCTTCCATTCCATCCTCCCTCCCTCCTCCCTCCTCCCTCCCTCCGTAATTCCCATCAGAAATCCTTCCTCCTCCCTCCCTTCCCCTCCTCCCCACCAGGACTCGTCACTCCCCCTCCGCCTCCTCCGTGCCCCCTCCTCCCCTCCCTCCCTCCCTCCCTCCCTTCCCTCCTCCCTCTCTCCCTCCCCCTCCTTCCTCCTCCCTCCCTTCCCTCCTCCCTGCCAGGATTCGACACTCCCTCCGCTCCCTGCCCTCCCCAGCGCTCGAGCCGCAGCCGCGGCCCTGCCGCCCCCTTCCCTTCTTCTCCCGCTCGCGGCTCCGACCCGGCGTGCCGCCCGCGAGGGGGGGCGCGAGGCGTAAGTCGGGCCTGTCCCCCTGCAGGGGGACTTTCGACGAACAATAAAAAAATACCCCCCAACAAAAATAAAAAAAAAACAAAATAGTCTGGGGACTATGTTTTTTGGTATTTCTCGACGGAAAAATAACAAATACCAACAAACAAGAGTCAAACAGAACCCCCAAGTAGTCTGGGGATGTTTGTTGTAAGTATTTGTTGACCATCTTGGGATAGTTTTTGGGGGTATCTTTTTGATTTTTCGTCGGAAATCCCCCTGTATGGGGGACACGCCCGACGTAACGCGAGGCCGAGGCCAACCTCCTGCCCTGCTCCGCCCTCGGCGGCGGCCGGGCCCGCCCGCTCGGCACGAGAAAAGCCGCGCCGGCGCCCGCCGCAGTGTGGCGCGGGGGCGCTGCGGCGCTCCGCCTCCGCCGGCGCCGCCGCCCCCGCAGATGGCGCCTGCGTCTGCGCCGCCGCCGCCCGCTCGGCACGGGACGCCGCACGGGCGCCCGCCGCAGCGTGGCGCGGGGGCGCTGCGGCGCCGCCTCCCGCCTGCGCCGCCGCCCCCGCCGATTGGTCGCAAGGGGGCCGCGCCTCGCCCGCACCGCCCGCCGCCGAGCATCCATGGGGGAGGACACGCTGCAGGAGGCCAACGCCAGCGAGCAGCCTCGCGCTTTTTTTGTACCGCCTCGTCCGCCGGATGCAGGACAGCTCGCGAGTCCCCGGAGATGGACCGGCCGCCGCCGCCAGGAAGCTTCGACTCCGGGGGCGGCGTGCAGAAGGGCCACTTGCTGTACATCGCCTCAATCGTTGGCATCGTTCGACGTCCGACAAGGTCCACTGACGCCTGCGGCACCAGCGCATGTCATAGCTAGCGTACCGCAGAAGGTGACGCTCCCCTGCCTGTCTCAGTGGGGCACCCTCTACCGACTCCACAGGCCAACCCCCGCCCTCCTAGAGAGGTAGTTGCCAGGCGCCGTGCTTGTAATGCTCTTACTGTTGGCAGCGCAGACAGCAGACAAGCGAGTTCTGACGATCAACTTCGACAATACTTGTGGACCCAGCCTTCCCATGTGCCCGTCCCAATGGGCCGCCCACTCTAGCGCTCCAGATCTCCGATCGCAAGGTAGAGCCGACATTCCCGCCATCAAGGCTGGCACGGTGAGGGCATTAGAGAAGGAACCATTGGATAATGAATCCAGGGTCTGGAAGCCCGTGGAACTCCCATCGTGGATCGCCCATGGATATCACCGCCGCCATCATCGGATAAGGATTCCTCTAGGAGCTGAAATGTCCTGGGCGCATCACCTAATCGATGCCACCACCGTACAGGTGAGCAGGAGCAGGCTCAGCTTGACGTGCACGCAAGCAGCGCCGCCTGGCAATGAATGCCGGCGCGCAGCCCAAACGAGGAGAGGGCTGCTCCCACGCCAGCGGCACAGCGGCACAGGAGCTGCTCGTAGGAGACATCAGCGCCTGCCTCGAGGCCAGGCGCGCTGGAATGTTTCCCACGAGTTCGCCGTGCAACTCGGCGTGTTGCCGAATCAAGGGAGGCCTCCATGGCTCGCGCGTGATGTCTCCCCGAGGCCCCTGCTCCTGCAGCACCAACGGGATGCGAGCGAAAGCTCGAGCACTGTGCAGCTTTCCCCTTGCAAATCGCACCAGGAGAAATAATGACCAATCTTGAGAGCGAATAGTCTAGTGGGTGGCTCCACTGTCTCAAGTGCTTTTGCAGTCGGCCACCAGCGTGCCACTTCTGCGGGCACATCACCCACAGATGGACGCTTGCGCAGCGCTAAGAGGCGCGCCCCGGCAAGGGTTCCATTGCCGTGCTAGTTTGTACTGATCACTTTCCTCCAAAGAAGAGGGATGCTCTGATAGCCTGGTTCGATCGCAGATCACAAGACTTCCCCGGCATCTTTCAGTGCCTGACAACAGAGACAGGTAACTTCCTTGTTGATGTGCGCATGCCTCCCCATGAACGCTAGCCTCTGATTCAAGGCGATGTCTTTTGCAATTTTGACGTGGAGTGATGTAGGTATGTTAAGGTTCTCTGCTTGTGTGGGCCCCCTCTAGGGAACACACTCGCCTGCATTCGCTTCGATCCGGTTGCGCTCAGTGATGTGCCGCCGTCATGCCTGCGTGGTCGTAGCCTTGCTTCCCATCGGGCAGTGCCACCGTGAGCATTCGGCAGCGCACTTGCCTCTCATCTATTACATGCTTTTCTAGCTCGTGCTGCTGCACAAGGTGCCTCGGTCGGCGGCTGCGTTCGTGCGGGCCGGCGCCCAGCGCCTCGGAGACGTCCTCGCAGAGGTGTGGCTTCGCGGACCTCCGGGCCCGCCCAAACCCAGTTTTCTCTTAGGGGCGCGTTCCCGCCTGCTCCCCGTCCAGGCCTCCCCATTCGCCCGCTGGTCCACGCACATGCCTGTGGCATTCTTCCTGCGGCCTGCACACAAGCTTTCTTTGCTTTCTCGGTCCCCTTCTCTGGTGCACGAGCTAGCTCGGTGTTGACTGCCCGTCATTTCGCATTGCAAAACTCCACCAGCCCTCTGGGCGGAGGTGGTTCAACGAGTTTGGTCTTCTCCCTGCCAGCATCCTTCCTTCCCCTACTCGGGGAATGGGTTTATCACTCCCCCTACCCCCTCCCCTGGGTCTGGACGGGGCGCCCCGGGAGGGGTTAGAGCGCCCAAGATCGCCCAAGATGGCTCCTCGAGTGCCTCAGAGATTTCAAGATGGCCTCCAAGATGGCCCATTCTCGAACATGGCTCAAGATAGCCTCCGACATACTGCCAAAAACCTCCAGACGGCCTCAAGACGGTTTCCCATGCCGTTCGAGCCTTCCAAGCACCTCCCGAAGGCGCCAAAATAGCTCCAACACCTAAGACAAAATAGCTGTTGTTGTTCCTTCCGGCCTTTGTGCTTCCGATGTGCGTCGGGGGCCTCAAGATGGCCCCAGGCGGTACAAGAGTGCCCCACGAGGGGCTCAAGAGGGCCCCAACAGGGCCCCAAGTACGCCCAAGAACGCTCCAACAGCGGCCCAAGAGGGCCCCGAGACGCCATGCTGGAGCCTCTGGGGGGGGAGACCTGAATTTATGAGCCCCTTTTTGTTGACTCCTAGGGGCCAAAATGTTCCAAAGAGGCCTCCCAGACCCCCAAAGAGCCCCAAGAGGGCCCCAAGAGGGCCCAAAGAGAGCCCCAAGAGGCTCTGCGTGGACCCGAGAAGAGCCCCCAAATGGCTCCAAGAGACCTCCGAGAAAACGCGTCCAAGACGGTTGCTACACTGCATGCTTCTACACTTCCCTGGTCAAGGCAAAACGCCTGAAGATCTGCTTCTGGATCGGCTGCAAGGTCCCAAACCAAGAGGATCCGAGTAAAGTCGCCGTGACAAGGAGCTTATGTGTGAAGAGGTTCAATACGATTCTACCGGTCCCAAGCGTAACGCAACGTAGATCAAATGCCCAATAAGCCTTTATCCCAAAGAGATGCACAAAATAACTCAAAGAAACCTTCCAATACTGATCAATTGAAGCCGGGGCGGCATGGGAACCTTTGTTCAGCCGTTCAACACATGTTCCCGCCGCTTCTGCGGCCCCCGCACGCTTGTACAGGCAAACGTTCAACTGCACGCTTACACACTGCCGTGATTCGAGCAACTCCCCTGGCAATTGTTTCTGGACGGGCTGGTGGGGAAATGCGAAGCATCAAGAACTTGGTTTGCTCAGCTGCCCATTGCAGGGGATGCATTTCTGCAGGTAGCCTGATACTCAATGTGTTGTCTCTCAAACCTCTCTCTCACAAATGCTGTGCTGTTCTTATCTCCCTTCCCGTGTCCTTGCTTCCGGCTGGGTTGGCACACAATCAACTGGGCCTTCGAGACTACCACGCCTACCTCCCTGGCTGACTCCCTGAAGCCTCCAATCACGGCGACGGCCGTCATTCGCACTGGGTGTCAGGGTGTCAGGGGTGCTTCCCCGCACGTTTGTTTGCACATCTATTTCGCCTCTTGCGTTTCAGATCAGTGCTCCTTTACAGGCTGACGATGCCCCTTTCCTCCGATCTGGTCCGATCCGATCCCTCCTCCGCCTTTTCCTCCAACTTTTGTTCCTCATCATCATCCCTTAGCTCTCCTCGTCTCCCCCCCTCCACAATCCGTCAATTCTTCCTCACTCCCCCCCGTTTCCCTCCTGCCCCACCTCCGTCCTCCTCCTAAGCCTCGTTCGTCTTTCCTCCCTCCCCTCTTACCTCCCCTTAACATACTCCTCCCCACAAGTCCTACATCTCCTCTTCCCTCCTCCTCCTCCTCCTCCGCCTGCTCCCTCTCCTCCTTCTCCTACTCCTCCCAAGAACGCGCAAACTGGTCAGCACAGCCAGCTCAGCCTGCTCATCTTCCTCCTCCCAAGAGCGCGCAAACTGGTCAGCACAGCCAGCTCAGCACAGTCTGTGAGACAGCGAAACAAATCAGCGAGCTCTGTGGCTGGTGAGTGATGATGATTTAGCGCGTCTCTGAGATCGTCTAAAAGCCGCGGAAATGCCGCCCATGAGAAAACACACAACAATCAGCAATCAACAGTGCCGCAATTCCGAGGGGGAACATGGGCAAACCCAAAACTTCGTGACTGCTTTGTGTCGGATGTTTGGCACGTCTGTCCTCCTCCTCCTCCTCGCCTCATTCCGCTCCCCCGATTGGCTAAGGCCACTGCACACGGGATGTCCCACTCCACCTCGCACGACTTGCCTCGCAGGCTAGCGCCACCCAGGGCGCGGGGAGGGGGCAGCAGCCATGACCTCCGACGCCGTGCTGTTTCCAAATGGACCCCGCAGACCTCGACCCCTTCCCGGGGACCGGCCCTTCCATCACGAGTCGGTTTAGGACGGAGCCGGGGCCTGGTGAGGGTCCACGGGGGAGAACCTTGGTAGAACGAGAAGATGCTGGTGCCACTGCTCCGATGAAAACCGTCGGCCACGATGACTGCACGACGCGAAGAAGTCGGGGCAGAGAACGCGCGAGGAGAGGTCACGACCGCGAACGGGACGGAGACATGCGCGCCACCAGACCACGCGTGCCAGGGTGGTGACCCAAAGCCCTGCGACGGGGGCACAGCACGAGGAAAGGGGATCGGCGAATCAGCTGCGCTGCAGCTGCTCTGCCCGCGGCAGGCGGCCCTGCACCGAGGAGAGCGCCCTGGCGGCGGAGCTGAGACTGCTTGCACGCAGCAGTTGCCGGAACCGCCCCCAAGGATTCGGCGGGATTGTGTAAGGAGGCTGCAGGCGACGCAGCCGAATCCCTCACCACGGCACCCCTGGGGGAAAAAAGCCCGCCGACGGGCCTCGATGCGCCGGACCCCGGAGAGACCCCCCCCCCTTTGGGCCGCCGCACGGGCGGCCCGTGATGACCGGGGTGCCTGCCCTGCCCTTGGCGACGCCTGGCCAGGTTCTCGCGCTGCCCTTCCTAGGAGGCGTGCGCAGCCCACTGGGCTGGCGCGGGGCCATCACGAGGACCTGCTCCAAGCACGATCATACTCAGACAAGCATGGCCAGGGACCTGCCCCGCATGCCAGGCCTCGCCTCCGAGGCGAGGAGCGCGGACGCGACCAAAAGAGCACCTACCCCGAGATCGCGTAAGGAGGGATACAACCGTTGGCGATCCACGCGCCATCATATGCCACACCACGGGCGACAATGGCGCGCGCGCGAATCAAATGCGGACACCAGTTCAGATCAACGTGATACCGAAGACGCTTGTACACAGACGCCCGAGGCGGCCGCGCTGCGCCTCGACTTCGGCGTCTCAGTGGAGCTGAGCTTTAAGTCGAGCATGTCCCTCTATAGGAGGCCTATTCAAGAATACTTGAAACATGTAGTCTGGTGACGACTGTTCGTGCTCTTTTGACAATGTTTGATCATCTTTTGACCAATTTCGAATTTTTCTTCCAAACCCTGCCTGCAGTAAAGGTGCCCAGGGACACACAAATGAATAGACACAAGTCCCAGGATTCCCAATCTTTCCACAACCTTTTTCGGGCTGTCCTGTCCCCTCCCCCCCCTTCCCATATCTTCCCAACCATTTTCCTGGGAGTCGACGATTCCTTGCGGCTGTGTGTGCCTTTTCCTCTCCCGATGCAGGAGGACCTGCCCGATCGAAGCCGAGCTCCGTTGAGCAGGGACCGACCGTCCCGGCATTTCTATAGTCCTACCACCAGGTGTTCCTAGAACCCAAACGTGTTCTTAGGACCAAAACAATGTTCTTAGAACTGAAGCCTCATGTGTGAAAACAGGGCAGCCCCAGCCAGAAAAGGTTCTAAGAACATCTCGTGGCAACCACAAAAGGGTTCTCAGAACACTGTTTGGTAGGGCTATAGGCCTATGTCGGGCGTGTCCCCCTACAGGGGGACTTTCGACGAAAAATCAAAAATACCAGAACAATAAACCATTAGCCTGGCGAAGAACCCAACCATATGCAGTTGTCAGTACCGCAGCTGCGGGTTTCATCTTCAGCGGAACTCCCCATAGGACTACGGAACGTGTGAGGGGTGTGCCGAGGTGGGTGCCACTGGGGCATTCGGCGAAGCTCCCTATGGGGACATGAAACACGCGCGGGGCGTGACGACATGGGTGGCGGAAACGCATGTGAGGGCCGCCAGTGGGGCCTCCAGTGGAGCTCCCTATGGGTCCCCGAAACATGATGCTGCTGCGGGGGGGGTGCCGGGATGGGTGGCAGAGACCTATGTAAGCGCCGCTACTGGGGCCTTCGGTGGAGCTCCCTATGGGGCCACGAAGCGCGTGAGGGGTGTACTGGGATGTGTGGCGGGGACGCATGTGAGCGCCGCCACTGGGGCCTTCGGTGCAGCTCCCTATGGGGCCACGAAACGTGTGAGGGGTGTGCCGAATTGAATGCGGGTGGTGACGCATGCGGGACGCATGCGGGCGGCAGCACTGGGGCCTTCGGTGGGGCTCCCTATGGGGTCACGAAACGTGTGAGGAGTGTGCCGAATTGGGTGTGCGGGACGCATGCGGGCGGCAGCGCTGGGCCTTCGGTGGGGCTCCCTATGGGGCCACGAAGTGTGAGGGGTGTGCCGAAATGGGTGTGCGGGACGCATGCGGGCGGCAGCACTGGGGCCTTCGGTGGGGCTCCCTATGGGGCCACGAAACGTGTGAGGGGTGTGCCGAAATGGGTGTGCGGGACGCATGCGGGCGGCAGCACTGGGGCCTTCGGTGGGGCTCCCTATGGGGCCACGAAACGTGTGAGGGGTGTGCCGAAATGGGTGTGCGGGACGCATGCGGGCGGCAGCACTGGGGCCTTCGGTGGGCTCCCTATGGGGCCACGAAACGTGTGAGGGGTGTGCCGAAATGGGTGTGCGGGACGCATGCGGGCGGCAGCACTGGGGCCTTCGGTGGGGCTCCCTATGGGGCCACGAAAACGTGTGAGGGGTGTGCCGAATTGGGTGTGCGGGACGCATGCGGGCGGCAGCACTGGGGCCTTCGGTGGGGCTCCCTATGGGGCCACGAAGCGTGTGAGGGGTGTGCCGAAATGGGTGTGCGGGACGCATGCGGGCGGCAGCACTGGGGCCTTCGGGGGAGCTCCCTATGGCGCCACGAAGCGTGTGAGGGGTGTGCCGAAATGGGTGTGCGCGACGCATGCGGGCGGCAGCACTGGAGCCCTCGGTGGAGCTCCCTATGGAGCCACGAAGCGTGTGAGGAGTGTCCCGAAATGGGTGTGCGGGACGCATGCGGGCGGCAGCACTGGAGCCCTCGGTGGAACTCCCTATGGGGCCACGAAACGTGTGAGGGGTGCCCCGAAATGGGTGTGCGGGACGCATGCGGGCGGCAGCACTGGGGCCTTCGGTGGAGCTCCCTATGGGGCTACGAAGCGTGTGAGGGGTGCGCCGTGAGCAGAGGCAACGAGGGAGAGGAGGGCGGAGGGAGGAGGCAGCGGGAGGAAGGAGACGCGGGGCACCGTCTCTTCAAAACGAGGACCCAACAATACAGGTTGGTTGGGAAAAAATGTCAAACAATACTCAAAAAATAGTCCCCAGACGATGTTTGGCTTATTTTTGAAGTATTTTTTATTTTTCGCCGGGCATCCCCCTGTCGGGGATGGACAGACCCCCCTTTAGTAAAACGTGGTTTAGTGAAAACGACCTGAGGCCCAAACCTGGCGGGCGCAAGCCTGGAAAATAACGGCCACGGCGCCATCTCGAGAACCGAACACGGACAATTCACTAATCGACGTGTCACTGTTGGGGGTTCTGTCCACCCCCGACCTTGTAGGGGGACAGGCCACGGCGCCGGCTGCGCGGGGGGGCGGCCGCCGTCGGCGGGGGGGGGCGCGGGGCGCCTTGGCTCTCCGCCCAGGCGGGGCCGCCGCGGACCTCGGCGCGCACCACCCCTCGGAGAGGAGCGCGCGCGGCTCGCCGCGCGTCGGGCGCGGTCCTCTGGCTGCGGGCCGGCCGCCTCTTCGTCGCCCAGCGCCATCGTTTTGCGAGGCGGGGATCGATGGTCGCGGAGCGAAGGGAATGGGACGCACAAGGACATGCTAGTACTGCATGTTCTCCTTGGAGGCGCGCGCGTCCGACCCGAACATGTAGTACACCCATCTTGTAGTATAGCCTTTCCTTGCATGTTGGGGGGACGCCGAGAAAACACGACGGGGAGATTTTTGGTCGTGCTCGGCCCCGTGGGGGCCCTCGCCGGGCTGTGGGACTCCTGGAAAGAGAGAAGCGGGCTGAGGAAGCGTCCCTGCGGAAGGGGTCGGGGCTTCCGGGAACGGCGCAGTGAGATAAGATCAAGACATCGCATGTCTGGTTTGCGTTTTCGGAAGTTCTGGTCTCTCTGTCTGCTCGGGCGCGTTCGTTGTTTTTTGTTGGTAGATTTCCACCCTCGGAGCGCTTTCCTGCACCTGCGCCTCGCCGAGGGCGTTCTGGAGTTGCCTGGATCGTCCCGATCGGCCACAAGAGGCCCGAATTAGGACCCGAAAAAGTGTTTGACAACATTCAGCCACCTGAGGCGAAGGGCTCCAAACCTCTGAGAAACCAGGTCTCGAAAAATAACGCTGTCGGAGGTCTAGACGCCCGCTCAGTGATCAGTGGTAGCATTTCGACGACAAAGTGGGCGACCACCTCCCCCTCGCAACTTCGCACCCCTTTTCCTCCTCAGCGCTTCTCTAAAGGGCACTCTTCCAACGGGAACTTCGGCTAGCAACCCGGTAAACGCAACCGTTCCCAACGCGGGCAGTGTTGCATGCCCCCATAATACCCCAAAGGAGAGCATTCGGCGGTGCTCCGAGCACCAACTATGGTGCCGCTGATCTCCACCTCTTTCATTCCTTCCCGCGCAATTGCCCCCATCCCACTTGAACAAGGACCGACCGTCCCGGCATTCCTACAGGCCTACAACGAAATTGTCTCAGAACCCAACAATGTCAGAAAACAACAACAACAACAACAACAACAACAACAACAACAACAACAATGTTCTTGGACCATAAACCCGATGCGTCAATACACGACAGTCTCAGACATCAATGCTCTGAGAACGTCTCGTGCAGACCACACGAGGTTCTCAGAACATTCCTTGGTGGGGTCATATCGGCGAGCCAGAACGCTTCGTCACTGCTTGCTGTACAGCCATCGTGCTGCCGCGAGGGACGTCGAAGAAGAAACCCAAGACCTCTTCTGGCCACGGCGAGCCTCAATCACGAACGTGCTCCCCGGCCCAGGCCCGCGGGGCGGCCAGGCGAACTCTGGAGCCCCCCCTGTGCCCTCAGGGCCTCGACTGCACCTCCTTTCCTGACGCTGCGCAAGCTCCAAGACAGAGTCTGAAGCGCTTGCATGCACCAAACATTACCAGCCTCGAACGTATCCCTGTCCCTAAGATTGACACGCCAAAAGGCGATGACAATCTTAGGGACTCGCCCTCAAAAAATTAGCCTGGCGAAGGACCCAACCATATGCAGTTGAGAGTACCGCAATTGTGAATATCTTCTTCGGTGGCGCTCCCTATGGGGCCACGAGCCGTATGAGGGGTGTGCCGAAATGCGTGGCAGTGTACACAACACGAACGAAGACGATAGGTCCGAATATGAAAGCTTGAGCGCGTGCGAGTCGGATCGCGAGCGAGTCTGATTATGAATGAATCTGCGCGCGATTGATTCTATTCGCATGAATGCGTGCATGGATACGCCCAGTGTAAATGTATGTATACGACTGTGAACAGTTTGGGTCTGCGTGACTCTCGGTACTCGTGACTCTGAGCGTCGCCTCTGCAGGGGGCTTCCCTGGGAACCCCGACGGCAGCGCCCGCGCGCCGCGACGCCCATGTCGGCACGCCACACACCTGGTGTGCGGGACGCATGCGGACGGCAGCACTGGGGCCTTCGGTGGAGCTCCCTGTGGGGCCACGAAACGTGTGAGGGGTGTGCCGAAATGGGTGTGCGGGACGCATGCGGACGGCAGCCATGGGGCCTTCGGTGGAGCTCCCTATGGGGCCACGAAACGTGTGAGGGGTGTGCCGAAATGGGTGTGCGGGACGCATGCGGACGGCAGCACTGGGGCCTTCGGTGGAGCTCCCTGTGGGGCCACGAAACGTGTGAGGGGTGTGCCGAAATGGGTGTGCGGGACGCATGCGGACGGCAGCCATGGGGCCTTCGGTGGAGCTCCCTATGGGGCCACGAAACGTGTGAGGGGTGTGCCGAAATGGGTGTGCATGCGGACGCATGCGGACGGCAGCACTGGGGGACGGTGGAGCTCCCTGTGGGGCCACGAGCGTGTGAGGTGGGGCCACGAAACGTGTGAGGGGTGTGCCGAAATGGGTGTGCGGGACGCATGCGGACGGCAGCCATGGGGCCTTCGGTGGAGCTCCCTATGGGGCCACGAAACGTGTGAGGGGTGTGCCGAAATGGTGTGCGGGACGCATGCGGACGGCAGCACTGGGGCCTTCGGTGGAGCTCCCTGTGGGGCCACGAAACGTGTGAGGGGTGTGCCGAAATGGGTGTGCGGGACGCATGCGGACGGCAGCCATGGGGCCTTCGGTGGAGCTCCCTATGGGGCCACGAAACGTGTGAGGGGTGTGCCGAAGTGGGTGATGACGATGACGATGACGACGATGACAATGACGATGATGATGATGATGATGATGATGATGATGATGATGATGATGACGATGATGATGATGATGACGATGATGATGATGATGATGATGATGATGATGATGATGATGATGATGACGATGATGATGATGATGATGATGATGATGATGATGATGATGATGATGATGATGATGATGATGATGATGATGATGATGATGATGATGATGGAGGATGGGAGGAGGGGGAGGAGGAGGAGAGGAGGTGGGACGCGGGGCGCTGTCTCTTCAAAACGAGGACCCAACACCACAGGATGGTTGGGAACAAGGGAATCCCTAAGATTGGCATCGTGTTGAGGGGGTGCCCAGCATAGGGATAGGGATATGTTCCAGGCTGGTAAAAGCAGATCGAACGACGACTGGGGCCGGTAGCCCCAACCAGATGTAGCTGCGAGTGCCGCATTGTCGGTCCCGCTTTCGGTGGAGCTCCCTATGGGGAAGCGAAGCGTAAGAGGGGTGCGCCGAAATCGGTGGCGCGGACGCATGCGGAACCTGCCACTGGAGCCTTCGGTGGAGCTGCCTATGGGGCCACGAAACGCTGTTGTGGGTGGCGGTGACGCATGCGGACACTGCAACTGGAGCCTTCGGTGGAGCTCTCCATGGGGCCACGAAACGCTGTCCTGGGTGGCGGCAACGCATGCGGACACTGCCACTGGAGCCTTCGGTGGAGCTCCCTATGGGGCCACGAAACGCTGTCCTGGGTGGCGGCGACACATGCGGACCCTGCCAGTGGAGCCGTCGGTGGAGCTCCCTCAGGGGCCACGAAACGCTGTCCTGGGTGGCGGTGGCGCAAGCGGACCCTGCCACTGGAGCCTTCGGTGAAGCTCCCTATGGGGCCACAAAACACTATCCTAAATGGCGGTGACGCATGCGGGCCCTGCCACTGGAGCCTTCGGTGGAGCTCCCTATGGGACCGTGTCCTGGGTGGCGGTGACGCATGCGGACGCAGCCACTGGGGCCTTCGGTGGAGCTCCCTAAGGGGCCACGAACCGTGTGAAGGGTGTGCCGTAGTGGGTGGCGGTGACGCATGCGGACCCTGCCACCGGAGCCTTCGGTGGAACTCCCTGTGGGGCCACGAACCGTGTGAAGGGTGTGCCGTAGTGGGTGGCGGTGACGCATGCGGACGCAACCACAAGGGCGTTCGGTGGAGCTCCCTATGGGGCCACGAACCGTGTGAAGGGTGTCCCGTAATGGGTGGCGGTGACGCATGAGGACGCAACCACAAGGGCGTTCGGTGGAGCTCCCTATGAGGCCACGAACCGTGTGAGGGGTGTGCCGAACTGATGATGACGGTGATGATGATGATGATGATGATGATGATGATGATGATGATGATGATGATGATGATGATGACGATGATGATGGTGACAGTGATGCTGATGATGAAGAGAGGGAGGGGGGGGGCAGCGGGAGGAAGGACGCAGGCGCTGCCTGCTCAAAACGAAGACCCAACACCGCAGGATGGTTGGGAAATGCTCAAGCCTGGCGGGCGCAGAAGACACGGCAGGGCCACTGCCTCCTGCTCCCCCCTTTCTCGCACCTTCGCCCCCCTCCCTCTCTCCTCCTCCAACCCCAGAAACGCGACGTCTTGATGCTGTTCGTGCGCGGTCCCCCAGAACGTCCCCACCCTTTCCCCGGCACCGCTCTTCCATCCCAATATACTTGCTGGACGTCCCTCGGGCCCAGCAAGACCTCCGGCCGCGATTCCGAAGTCCTGGAAATGGGCACCAACACCAACACAGGGGGCTGCCTCCACAGGGGGAAGAGGATCCTGGATTTCGACGTTGGCGGTATTATTCCGGTCACCTCGAAAGCCAGACTATGACCACCGTCACCGAGATCGGAAGTCTTCTGCCCTCGGTGGAGGAACACCGCCGATCTTGGTGTTGGTGTCAACCTCTAGGCCTGCGATGATTCTCGCCACGACGCGAGCGCGTCTTCGCACTTCCCTCCGCCGGGCTGCCTTGCGCCCGGCCCAGGCCCGAGCGCGCGCGGGGGAAGATCCGGGCCCGCCACGCCGATGAGCGCGTACCCCTCGCGGACGCCTGGGGACCCCCGCCAGCGGGCTCCGCCCCCCAGGACGCCCTCCCTGTGGGAAGCGGGCTCACCCCCCTCCCCCTCCCCCTCCTAATCCTCCCTCTTCTCCTCCTCTCCCGCTTCCGCCCTCTTCGCCCCCCCTCCCTCCCCCCCGGGCAGTGCACCAGTGTTCGGTGTAGCTTTGGGGCCAGCGTTCCCAGGCGTTTTGGATCCTCCTCTTGATGATAGCCTCTGGGCCTCTGAATGTCTAGTCGATGGACGGACTTGGCCCCCACGGAGTGTTCTTTCTTTCTTTCTTCCTCCTCCTATCTCCTCCCTCCTCCCTCCCTCCTCCCCCCTCGCCCGCCTCCCTCGTCTATGATTCCTCCTCCTCCTCCTCCTTTCCTCCACCCCTCCCTCCCTCCTCCCCCTCCCCCTCATTCTGCTCCTCCTCCTCCTCCTCATCCTCCTGAGCCCCTTCTCCTGGTAAATGACTACTCTCTGTCGCACCCGCAGACGTGTCGGTACGGGGCGGGCAAGGAGTTTCGCCTGAGACGTTTTCACCATGCATGACCCTGGAGATTGGAATTCGCACGGACGGTGTTCAACATGAGGCTCTCGTATTAGCGGCGCGCACATTCGTCTTAACAGTTTGCAGCAAATGCGTTGATTGAGGGCGGGCGGCTTTCAAAAGGTGGCTCTCGCGTTATCGCCGCGCATAGTAGTTGTCAAAGTGTGCAACCTGTTCGAGGATTGGAGCGATCGAGGTCCCAGGAGCGGCGTTCTGATACGGCTTAGGATTGTCAGGACGCAACACATGTTGACTCACGGCGTTGATCCACGGAACGGCGTTCTGGCACGATTCACGGCTACCAGGACGCAGCAATCACTTCGACTCGCGGCGCTGAAGTTCCAGGAATGTGTTGTCTGTGCGGCAAGGCTGAATATTCTCAGACAGTTGTCTTTCAACGGGCCACTTCCCTCAGTGACAACACATTCTTGTAGGGACCTATGGAGAGAGGGAACTTGGAGGGGGGAGGTTATTGCAACATCGTTGATGCATTTTGGGTGTGCGTTGGCCCTCCTCCTCCTCCTCACCATGTATACCCTGCAGACGCGCGCTGCTCACTGGAGGGGGAGAGGGCGATGACGACGACGAAGACGACCACGACGACGATGAGAAGAGCGGTGGAGGTGGAGGAGGAGGTGGAGGAGGAAGAGGATCGTTGGTGGTGGAGGAGGAGGTGGAGAGGAGGAGGAGGTGGAGAGGAGGAGGAGGTGGAGGAGGAGGAGGAGGAGGTGGAGGAGGAGGAGGAGGAGGATCGGAACGTTCTGGCTGCTCCCTCTCGGGCAGCTGGCGGCATCCGTGGAGCCCTCGGGAGAGCTCCAGGGACCGCTCGGGACTGGAGAGGGGGGGGGGGGGGGCGAGGATGAAGGGGCCCACAAACACACAAATAAATAAACACAAATGAACATATTCCCCATATTTTCCCATATTTTCTGGGTTTTTGTCTTCCCCCCCACTTCCCATATTTTCCCGTATTTTCTGAGGAATCGACGATTAATTGTGTCTGTGTATGTTTTCCCTCCTGAGAGGAGAGTGGGGTGGATCGAGGAAGGTCCTGTGGGCATAGGCTTAAGTCGGGCGTGTCCCCACACAGGGGGATTTTCGAGAACAACTAAAACATACCCAAAACATATTCAAAATGGTAAGACAGTACTCCAAAAATCGTCCCCATACTATTTTTAATTATTTTTGAATTTTCCCCCTGCAGAGGGACAGGCCGGACTTAAGCATAGGCGCTCCAAAGGTTCTAACTGTGTCTGTGGCCGCCTCCCCCTCCCCCTCCCTCCTCTCCTGTGCTGCTCCCTCCTCCCTCTCTGCCTCGCTTCCCCGACCTTGTCCCCCAAAAGAATGGTGGCGCCATGGCGCCCGACTCGTCCTGCTTCTCCCCCTCCTCCTTCGATCTCCTCCACCGCCACCACCTCTGCTTCCTTCTTCGCCTCCCCTTGTCAGCGCCGCCGGCACCTGTGCGCCATGGAGGGAGAGAGGACACGGCGGGGATTCGTGGATCCAGCGGCTCGGAGCATTCAGGTCGGCCAGAAGCCCAGGCCGTGACGTTGTGCTGCAGCGCCCTTCGCTTTGGACAATGTGCTGGTTCCACTGCTGTGACACCTGTTCGTGCCATCACCCGTCGTACGGATGGCTCAGGACCGCAACTGGTGCAACAAAAGGTTATTTGTTTGCGGATTTCACACTGCGCACGGTTCTAGCAAATCTCCCAAATTGGCTCAACGATCGTGACGCTCATGCGTTCGAGCAACCAAACCTGATATGGTGCGAACGCGAGCAATTAGTACGGAAAGTGTTTGTGGACCCAACCATGAGAACATACTGCGGCCACTACCACAATATAAATCGGTGGAATAGCCCATCCGCGCACATGTTTTTTTTCTCCGCCGGCGATGGTGCACCAAGGCTGCGATGGAACAGAAGACGGGCCGCGTCACTGTCAACTGCGTTTAACATGGAGGATGAGAAGACGCCCTGCGTTTAAAAGGACTGCTGCTCAAGGGGAAGGCACATCGGAGAAATAATAACGACTGTTCCTCTCCGCTGGGTGATGACTTCGATAAGTCGCGCTGTGGGACCTAAAGGCCCCTTGGGGGACGGATGAGTCGGCAGGCGCGCTCCAAGGGATAATCTGCCACAACATGGGCAAAACAATGGCTCCATGAAGCGAATGCGTTCCACGGGGTGATCCGGAATCCGTGGGGGGTGCATCTTGGCCAAATGTTATAAGTGTGAATGTGCTCGCCGGTGCGTTGCTCCACGTAACCCAGACGGGGCTATATTCACTCGTACAGAGCTTGCCGTCAGAACCCCCGCCGTCAGAACCCGATTCGAAGTACAGCTCTCGGTGAGAAGACGCGCAATATTAGGTCGGGCGCGTCCTCCTACAGGCGGGTTTTGGACGAACAAGAAAGAGATAGCCAAAAAGCATTCGAACAATGCTCATATATATGTATATATATATATCAAAAAACAAAAACACGTCCCCGACTACCTCCTGTAGGGGGACACGCCCGACTTAAGCGCAATCGTAAATCACTGTTGTCCTGTGGCCGGCAGCCTCGCGTTTTGGAGCGTGCCCATCGCCGCAGACCGAAACATGATGGACCCACGAACCCGGAAAGGGATACAGAACCGCATGCATGGAAACGTTTTCACGACACCGTATTGGGCGACGGGCACTTCCACAAGACACCCCGCGAAACATTCCACGAGACACGGGCGACCGTTTTCAACGTTTTCCTGGAAACATTCCACGAGACACCCCGCGAAACAGTCCACGAGACACCCCACGAAACATTCCACGACGACAGGCAACCACTCAACCAAGGCGGTGTGGTCGTGCTGGGGAGTGGTCGTGCTGGGGTGTGGTCGTGCTGGGGGGTGGTCGTGCTGGGGGGTGGTCGTGCTGGGGGGGTAGTCGTGCTGGGGGGTGGTCGTGCTGGGGCGTGGTCGTGCTGGGGCGTGGTCGTGCTGGGGCGTGGTCGTGCTGTGGTGAGGTCGTGCTGTGGTGAGGTCGTGCTGGGGTGTGGTCGTGCTGGGTGATGGTCTTGCTGGGGTGGGGTCGTGCTAGGGTGGGGTAATGCTGGGGTGTGGTCGTGCTGGGGTTTGGTCGTGCTGGGGTGGGGTCGTGCTGGGGTGGGGTCGTGCTGGGGTGTGGTCGTGCTGGGGTGTGGTCGTGCGGGGGTGTGGTCGTGGAAACGCATATAGAACCGCATGCATGGAAACGTTTTCACGACACCGTATTGGGCGACGGGCGCTTGCAATGCTGAAGGTGTCGATGGCGATGTGCTGTGCCAGGGGCTGTGCTGTGCCGTGCTGTGCTGACTTGGAATTTGCCATGCTGCGCTGAACTGTGCTCTGCTCAATTGCGTTGTGGATCTCTGGGGCGCCCAGATCCGTCAAGTTCTACAAAACAAGCGATTCGCTCGAGACATCCTCGGTAACTCTGCTGCGGAGCAAGCGTTTCGCTCGAGACATCCTCAACACACGAAAGAGTGGCCCGCACCCTGTGATTTATCGATCGGGATTTCAAAAACAAGCGTTTCGCCAAAGAAATCCTCAAATCTTAATCCGCCGGCCCACCTCGACCTCGATATTTATCTACTCATCAGGGAAAGCATCCGCCGGCCCACCTCAATTGAGGCACCGGGGACAAGTTTACATACTAAAAGAGAACCCTGGGCCTATGCCCTTTCCGGGAACATAACGGTGAGCAACGCCGTGCACAGAGCGGGACGGAGCTCAAGGCGGCGCGATACGCGAAGCAACCGTTCCTGGCCGTGTCGTTTGTTCGTCGGTGCCCGTCCGCTTTCGCGCCCTTCCCCCCTGTCCCCCTCTCCTGAAGGGGGGGAACGACTTGGGGAGACCAGCTCAGGGCAGGACCATCGACCTTGACTCGAGGAAACGCCGCAGATAGATCGGCGCTTGGCCCCCGACAGCAAAAAGACGCCCGCTCCTGAGCACGGTGGGCCAACTCTATGCCACTGGTAATCACAAGGTGGGGATCAGAAAGTTCGGGGTTCGCGTGGAATGATACACTTTCTCCCAATAACTCGTCTGTATGATTATCTGTTAATTTGCTATAACGATATCCTGCTCGCTCTGTCGGGGCCTCCTTGGAGGAGTCGGAGGAGCAAGAAGACGGAGAAATAACATGGTATAATTATACCCGGCTCGCTCTGGCAGGGCCTCCTTGGATGGGTCGGAGCACGACACCTGAGAAATAGCATGGTATGGCGATGCCCTGCTCGATCTGTCGAGCCTCCCTGGAGGATGTGTTTGTGTATACACATATCTATATGAGAGCACGAAGCCTGATAAAGAGTATGGGTACAATGATTCAATCGTGAAATGATGAGAGTCGCAAAACTGAAATAGTATTGGTTCATGAGCCCTGTTGAGTTTGGAAAGCTGAAATGGTGAGAATCCCATAGCCCTGCCACACATTCGTGGGATAGGAAAACTGAAGTAGTGAGAATCCCAAAGCCCTGCCACACGTTCGTGATACTGTGGCTACTCAACATGAGAGAATAGCAACTCCGAGTCGTACTTTCAAGGGCGATCATGACCTTCGGCCTTGCCGCCCCTTTTCCCCCGACCAACGAACTCTGTCTCGGCCATGGATTAGCAACTCTGACAGGTTAAAAGAAGGGGTGATGCTTCGTCATCCAGGGTGCTGGGTTACCAAGCGCCCATCTCAGGCGCATGGTATTTATGGGTTAGGGATTCGTGGATCTGGCGCGTGGGCGCCAGACCCACGCCTCGGGGAACGTGACACCCGAAACAAAGCGCCACTGCCGCCCCATTGGGCGACGGAGCGCGCCGCTTGTGCACGGCAACGGGACCCGTCGCCGATCCACGCGCGCCTCAACCCATGTTTTTTTTGGTGCGTCGAGATTGGGGGTCCATGCTTCCTCTAGGGGGCCGCATGCGAACCCCTACCCACCACGATCTCTGAGGGGGAGGGTGGGGTTCACTTCGCTCGGGAGCTCCCGGACGAAGTTGAACCCCACCCTCCAGAAATCGTGGTGGGCAGGGGTAGGGTTCGCATGCGGCCCCCTATCCTCCCCGGAGGCTGTCCCCCGCAGTCGCTGCCCCTGGCTCCCGCCCGCAGCAGCCCCCCCGCGCGCCGAGAGGCCCAGCGATGGTGGCGCCGACACCTCGCATCGCGTTGATCGCCTGGCAAGCGCCGGAGGTGCACTGGCGCGTGCCCTCTCCGTTCGGGCATGTCCTCCTACAGGCGGGTGTTGGAATAGAGTTCAGCAATACTCAAGACTATTCAAACACGCGTAACAAGAGTTGAAACATCGTTCCTAGACAATTGTTAGACTATTCTTGACGATTCCTCCTGTAGAGGCTCATGCCCGACTTGAGATTACTCAGCATCGGCTCGGCAGAGCGGATCGACTCGGAATGTGCGTCGGCTCGGGCCGCATCGGCACGGAATCGAGATCGGATCGCATCGGCTGCACCAGGATGCCAAGCATCGCCATGTCAGCATGAGGCCGCATCGGATCCCTGGGGCAGCCTCCCCTCGCACTCCGCGCGCTGCAGCACCCCCCACATCGACTCCTCCTCCTTCCTCGGGGACTCCTGGCACCGCGCCCCCCGCTCGGGCCTGCACGCCCTCTCAAGACGGAGCCAAGACTGCGACGTCCATCGGACACGGACACATCGGGGACCTGTGAGGCCCGGCGGTTCTGGAGGATGCATCGGGCGCCGCGGCCGTTCCGGAGAGCTCGGGAGCGCTCTGGCGGAGCTTCCCTGAACGCTATGGAAGAGTGCACACTGGTTCGAGCCTAGCCCCTCCCGAATGCATTTCGCTGCTCGGTCTTCCCCTGTCTCCACCCGGAGCGCCGTCGTTCTTGCGCGCGGCCGTCTCCCCCGAGCCTCTCCTCTGCGTGCCTGGCGGCCCTCCTGCCGTGCAAGACGCGCTGCCGGCGTCGTCCTGGAAGCAGCACGCCCAGAAAGCACTCGCACTGAAGACTCCCTCTGACGTTCCTCAACTGAGCAGCGGGCTGGCCAACTCCAGCGCGAGCATCGAGAAACAAACTGCCTCTCACAGACGTTCGCGTTCAAACCGTCGTTCAAATTTCACCAGGGTTCATACCGGCGGAAAGCCACACGGCGGCCGCTGCAAGCGCAAAGCATGCCAAGGAACAAGCTGCTTCTCTCAAAAACGTTCGCGGTCAGACCGTCGTTCAAATTTCACCAGGGTTCACACCGGCTGCAAGTCGTGCGGCGGTCGCCGTAAGCGCAAGTCGTGCCAAGGAACGACCTGCCTCTCACAAACGTTCGCGTTCGAACCGTCGCTCAGATCTCACCAGGGCTCGTGCGGGCGGTAAACCACACGGCGGCCGCCGCAAGCGCAAGTCATGGGCCGTGGTGCAGAGCGCGTTGCGCCGTGCTCGCGCGACTCTGGCAGCTTCGGGTCGGGCGACAAGGGGGGGATAGCAAAGGGGGGGGGTGAGAATCAGCGCACAGAGCTGACTTTCCCCGCGCCTTTTTGGCGCCGGAGGCGGCTACGTATCGAGGAATGGTCCCCTCGGTGAGGCCGACACCAGCTGCATGCAGCAGATTTCGTAACCCCCCCTTTCCCTATCCCCCCCTTTCGTTCGGACCGATAGCTGGCCCGCTCTGCTGCGACTGTCTTCCTGCGCCGCTGCGAAGAGAGAGAGAGAGAGGTCATCCGGCTGGCGTCGGAGTCGAGGTTCTCGAACCCAGAGTCCTCGGCACGCGAGCACGCGCGAGGGGGACGAGGGAGCAGGGCGAGGAGCCGGGAACGGCACGGAGAGGCCAGGTCGAGATCGGGAGGAGGGGGAGGGGGGAGGACGGACCAGCTGGGCTGCGGCCAGAGATCCGAGGAGCAGGCAAGGGAGACTGAAGAGAGGGAAATGGGGGAAGAAGGAGGGAGGAGGACGAAGAGGGATGATGGAGGAGAAGGGAGGGGAGAGGAGGAGGAGAAGGAGGCGGAGGAGGAGGAGGAGGAGGAGGAGGAGGAGGAGGAGGGATCCGCCAGAAGGGATGAGAACAAAGCAGAGGGAAGGCGAGGAGAAAGGATCAGCTGGAAGGGCGGAGATGCTGAAGAGGAGGACGAGACGGAAGAGGCGGAGCGTGGGGGGACGAGGGATCAACCGGGGGGAACGTCAGGAGGAGGATGCGGAAGGGCGAGGGCGAGAGGAAGGATTGGCCGGGTGGGCTGAGACGTTGAGGTCGAGAAGGGGTGGGAAGAGGAGGGGCCATCGCGAGTTCCAGGGTGCTGATATCCATGCAGACCAGTGTCAGGATACACTCGCGGCAGCTCAGATTCAATATTGAAGAATGAGGAATCCCTGGAACTAAAGGAGAAAGTGGACGTCAGGGAGGCTCGTAGGCAGCTTGGAGTAGATCGGAGTGGACAAGCCTAGAGTTGCGGACACCCCACTACCTTGCCTCGCCTCCCCTTGTCAGATGAAGTGTAGAATTATGGCACATCAGGTCGTGGAACCGAGAGTATGCCCTGAAGCCCCCCCCGATGGCAGTAAGCGACCGCCCCGAAACACAAGACAAACGTTGTCAAGACATGTTTCTCCAACACTTCTCGGAATTACAATCGAATACCGACCGGCAAATAGTTGGCTTCACGCCCATCCGCGCCTGGACCGTTCCGAAGATTCTACGAGGACGACGTAAAGATGCTGGCACTGGCCCCGACTCTAGTTCAGCCCAGATCTTGAAGCATTGCGCCTGACAGTTAGCGCTGCCCGTGGCGATCGTTGCCCGCATTCTTCTTCGCAGTGGCTAACGGCCTTCGGCGTGGTAAATAACAGGATGCTTCCTCTGCATACGCGCAAAGGAATTATCCGTCCAGGCAACTACAAGGGCATTCGCTTGACATCGCGCGTGTACAGTGCTGTCGAGAGGGTGGTCGCGAAAGGTTTGCTACTGTACTTTGAAGCCACTTGTGCATACGGAGTCAACCAATTTGCTTACCATCACAGCAAGGGATACGAGGACGCGCTAGAATATGCTGCCTGAAACTGGCCGTGGGAAATCGGATGTGTCTGGCGCGTTCGACAGAGTGCGGGCGGACCGTCTTGTCGATGACCTTGTCCAGCTTCTCATCGTAGACTGGGCCCGCATCGACGACCTCCGACGCCCCGAACTCGGTATCCTTGTCCAAGTGCCCCTCGTAGCACGATTCCCCGTCGGCGACCTCCGACGGCGCGAACTCGCACTGCATGCTCCTCGTCTTGCCGATCGGCTCTCCTGTGCGCCCTGAGGCCCTCTCGAACGACAGCCGGTTGGCCTCGACCACGGCCTCCGGCAGGTCTCCGACCTTCGACGGCGGCTGAGCCTCCCGGGACCCCCAACAATGAACGCTCGTGCCGCCAGCCTCCGACTTGACGATGCCGAACCAGAATGCCGTCGCAACGCGAGGCCCCCTCGACGATCCCCGACGTCCCGAACCCGCTGGCCTTGACCTGCAGCTCCTCGATGCACGGGCCCGCATCGACGACGCCCAGCGCCGCGGACACATCGCCTCCAGGTACCCGTCCATGAGCGCCTCATCGTGGTGCCCTCCCTCGGACACGCTGCTCTCGGTGTCCGCGAGCTCGAACCAGTCGACCCGCTTCAGTCCAGCACCTTGTCCTTCTTGTACTTCTTGTGCTTCTTGCCCTTCTTTACCTTCTTCTCCTTCACCGCCTTCGTCGAGCGCGCGTTCACGCAGTCCTCCTGGGCCTGCAACGCCCGCTCGAAGACCAGCCTCGCCTGGGACTTCCCGGCGACGCTGCTCGCTCCATCAAGCGCTCTGGGCCTTCTCCTTCCTCGCCTGCCAGCAAAGCCCCAACATCCCGACTGCGGCGGCGATGGCGGCGCCACGGATCCGTCCAGGATAGCCAGAGGCTGCGATGCCACGGGGGTAGAGAACGGCCTCGCCGTGGGCCGCGCCTTTGCTGGCGCCTCGCCCATCGCCGGGCGCGCAGACCGCTGGGACGGCACGCGGGCCGGCGACCGCGGCACTCGAGCACCCCGCGGCACACGCCCTGACGCCTCCACCGCTGACGAGGCAGCCGCCTGGACGATCACCGCGGTGTCCGGCTCCACCGCGGGAGAGTGGGGACAGGAGGAAGAGGATAAGGGGGAGGGGGAGGAGGAGGAGGAGGAGGAGGAGGAGGAGGAGGAGGAGGAGGAGGAGGAGGAGGAGGAGGAGGAGGAGCAGGAGGAGGAGGAGGAGGAGGAGGAAGAGGAGAGGAGAGGGTGCACATGTAAAGGGTGAAGGTATGGTCGCTGCGGGGGCCGGTCTAAGTCAAATATTAAACACACGACGTCTCTGCGGCACGCATATAAATGATAAGCCTAGGCCCTGCATACACATACTGGGGGAGGAGGGGGAAGAGGAAGAGGAGGCGAGGGCATCAGTCACCTGCGACAGTCCTGCCCTCAGACAGGAGCTCGAGGGGAGGAGGGGAACAAACGGGGACGAGGTGGAGGACGGGGAGACGACCTTTCGGTCCCTGAATCGTTGTTGGGCGGCCCCCTGGAGGTCCCGGGAAGCCGCACAGAAGCCGGGACGATCCGGGCACCCTAAGGAAAGCCCTCGGCGAGGCGGAGCTGCACGACCGCATCTGGAAGACTTGTGAGAACCAATGTTAGGTCGGGCATGTCCCCCTACAGGCGGATTTTGAAGGAAACATTTTTCAATATCAGAAGTATTCAGAAATAGTCTGAAATATCCAAACATATCCAAACATCGTCCCCATACTATGTTTTACATGTGTTTTGAATAGTCTTCCTGTAGAGGGACGCGCCCGACGTAAAACCAATGAAGAAGTTCAAATGATTGGAGCGACGGGAGCGTCCGACAAAAAAAGCCGGGCCCCCTCCCGACGCGGAGCGGATCGAGCAACCGAGGGGGGGTGCGCCGTCCTTGCACGCCACGAGCACGATGTGCCCCTGCGGGATGCCCCGCAGGTCCGCAGAGAACTGGGGGTTCACCTCGGGAGGATGCATGCGCCCCCGATCAGCTACTCCCCCCTCCTCCTTCTCCTCCTCCTCCTCCTCCTCCTCCTCCTCCTCCTCCCTTCCACTTGGGGAACTAAATTGCTCTTCCTCTTGCGCTTGCTCTTGCTCTTGCTCTTGCTCTTGCTCTTGCTCTTGCTCTTGCTCTTACTCCTCCTCCTCCTCCTCCTCCTCCTCCTCCTCCTCCTCCTCCTCCTCCTCATCATCATCATCCCCTTCCTCCCTCCCCTCCTCCCGCTCCGCCCCCCCCCACCCACCCACCCACCCTCAACCTCCTCCCCCCTCTTCTTCCCCCCTCTTCGCCCCTCCTCCTCCCCCCTCCTCCCTCCTCCTCCTCCTCCTCCTCCTCCTCCTCCTCCTCCTCCTCCTCCTCCTCCCTCCTCCTCCTCCTCCTCCTCCCCCCTCCTCCTCTTCCTCCTCCTCCTCTCTCCTCCTCGTCCTCTTCCTCCCTTCCTCCCTCCTCCCCCCTTCCTCGCCCCCCTCCCCCCTTCCTCGCCCCCCATTTTTCCCACGTAACCACCCGCCTACCCTCTCCGCCTCCCGCTCCACCTCCCCCCCCCTCCGCCCCTCTCACTCCAGCTCCGCCTCGGTCGGCCAATCGTGCGGCCAGAGGGTCGAAGTCGATATGAAGAGAGAGAGAGAGAGGGAGAGAGCGAGAGAGATAGAGTGAGAGAGTGAGAGGTAACAACATACCAATAATATTCATTAGCATGGGCAGCACCTGCCCAACACCCACTGGTCGTTTTTTTCTTGTGGCAGTGTTCTTCTCTCATCTTGCTCTTTGTTCGACGCCTCCACCCTCTCCTCCTTCTCCCCCTCCTCCTCCTCTTCCGAAAGAGAGAGAGGGAGAGAGAGAGAGAGAGAGAATGAGAGAATGAGAGAGAATGAGAGAGAGAGAGAGAAGAAGAGAGAGAGAGAGGGATAGACTCGAGGGAGTAACGATCCCTGTGAAATTCAACAGTTTGCGACGCAAAGGGGCGGCAAACTCTGTGATGTCACTGGGGGGTTGGGGATTTCTGGTGTGAGAACTTACAAAGACCCTGTGATTTCAATAGGCCTTCTCGGATGTGTGACATGTTTGAGGTTCCGAACTCTGGAGGGCTGCAGCGTGGATTTTCGCCGAAAGATGTGACATCCCAAAAACCCAAAACGAATGGCATCACATGGCTTCTGGGGTTCGCATACCATAGGTCCCGAACCTCCCAATGAAATCACAAGGCCTAGCGCCCCATTACTGCTGCAAGCCGTGCGATTCCACAAGATCGCTAATTTTCTAGTCTCTCTCCCTGTCGTGCTGCCTTTATGTCCTTTGTGCTGTTTCTCTCTCTCTCTCTCTCTCCCCCTCTCTCTCTCTCTTTCCCTCCCTCTCGCTGTCTCAATATCTCTCCCTCTCTCCCCCTCAATATCTTTCTCTCTCCCTCTCTCTTTCTTTCTTTCTCTCTCTCTCTCTCTCTCTGTCTGCGCCCCTCTGCCGAGGAGGCAGAACAAGACACAGCAACAGAGAGAGAAAGAGTGAGAGAGACGCGAGGGAGCAACGACCCGTGCACGGTCACACGGTGTGTGCGAAATCAGGGGGCGACACACCGTGTGATGTCACGAGGGATGTTGGGATTGCTGGAAAGGGAACCCCAGAAAGCATGTGATGTCATTGGGATTTGGTGTGGAGGTATTGCATGTCTGAGGGTCAGATCTCTGGAGGGCTGCGACGCGGACTCTCGTCGGAGGACGTAGGCCCCCGAACATCTCAAACATCCAAATGCAATCACATAGCTCCTGGGTCCTCGTGCCAGAAATCCTCACCAGCCCGATGCAGTCAAAACACGTGGCGGCCCCTCACTTCGCAAGCCGCGCGATTTCATAAGGATCGCTGCTCCCTCCGGCCTCCCTCTCCGTGCCCCTCTGCCGCACAGTTCTAGTTGGTTATGTGTTCTTTGCGCGGCTTTTGCTCGTTGTTCCTTTCTTTTCTAAACCATCATGTGGTGTTGGGTCCTCGTTTGGAAGAGACGGTCCCCGCGTTCCCTCCTCATCCTCCCGCTGTCCCCTCCCTCCTCCTCTCATCATCATCGAGATCATCGTAACCACCCGTTTCAGCGCACCCGTCACACGTTTCGTGGCCCATAGGGAGCTCCACCGAAGGCTCAAATGCAAGCGTACTCCTGCGGCCACCGCACCCATTTTGGCACACCCGCCACACGTTTCGTGGCCCAACAGGGAGCCCCACCGAAGGCCCAAATTCCAGCGTTCGCATGCGGCCACCGCACCCATTTTGGCACACCCCTGACATGTTTCGTGGCCCAACAGGGAGCCCCACCGAAGGCCCAAATGCCAGCGTACGCATGCGGCCACTGCACCAAGTTTGGCATACCCCTCACACGTCCCAAGGCCCCACAGGGAGCCCCACCGAAGGCCCAAATGCCAGCGTTCGCATGCGGCCACCGCACCCATTTTGGCACACCCCTCGCACCCTTCGTAGCTCCATAGGGAGCCCTACCGAAGGCCCAAATGTCAGCGTTCGCATGCGGCCACCGCACCCATGTTGGCACACCCCTCACACGTTTCGTGACCCCACAAGGAGCCCTACCGAATGCCCAAATGTCAGCGTTCGCATGCGGCCACCGCACCTACTTTGGCATACCCCTCACACGCTTCTTGGCTCCATAAGGAGCCCCACCGAAGGCCCAAATTCCAGCGTTCGCATGCGGCCACCGCACACATTTTGGCACACCCTCATACGTTTGACAGCCCCATAGGGAGCTTCACTGAATGCGGTGCAGACAACGACGCTCACAACTGCATCTGGGTGGGTTCCTCGCTAGGCTAATGTTATGTTGTGTGGATTGTTTATTATGTGTGGTGTCTGTGTGTTTCTTAATTAGTTCGTGTTTGTTTCCGGGTGTCCTTGGTTGGTATGTGCTTTTGTTTTTGTGTTCCGTTCCGGCGAGTCGGAGACAAGCACAAATAGTGAAGGACTGGGGGGAGCAGCAGCAGCAGGAGGTTCCGCAGTAGCGGGAAGAGGAGGCAGAGAAGGAAGAGGCACGAGAAGACCTGAACGAGGAGGACGCATGCCAGGAATAATAGGAATAGGAGGAGGAAGAGGAGGAGGAGGAGGAGGGAAGAAACGGAAGGGGAAGAAGAGAGAATAACAGCGTCAAAAGGAGAAGACGACGATCAGTGGGTGCTGGTGGGGGAGAGACTGGTCGCGTGCAATTTCTGGAGCACTGCCGTTGCAAATCATGTCCGTCGGACTTTGCTCGATGTTGGTGTCCACTCTCCTCCAGGAGGCTATTGGACTTGATTTCTTGTCCGACCTAGGACCCCCTGGCTCCCGTTGGCTCTGGTGCTGATCTCACCACCCCTCCATTCAGCCGTAGTCCGCGAGACGAGCTTACAAAGATTTCTGAACGTGGGAGATCCTGGGGGATTTCGGGAGCCACCAGTTGGCCTGCGTCGGTACTGTATCCGTAAGGGCCCGTATGACTTCACAGCCCACTCCATGGGTTGTATGTCGCAGATTCCCGCCATGGCTGCCCGCCAGTAGCTGCACGCGTATTCGTTGCAAGGGCCGCTCCACTATGTATGTGTGTATATGTGATGAGGTATTCCTTTTCCTATATTTTTATAAGCCCGGGCGGGAGGAAAACCCGTCCCCCCCCCCCAAAACCGGTCTCCCAGGACCTGGGGCTTTGGGGCCCTCCGGACGGGCCTCGAAGCGGCCACCGGGCCTCGCAAGGCGTTTTGCCAAGCCTTCCCAGCACACTTAAGGCGATCAGGGGGGTCATCGGAGACGTCCCAGAGACCCCCAAGACAGCACAAGAGCGCTCCAAGAGTGACCGACGTGACCTCAAGATGGCCCAAGAGGCCTCCAGGGCGGCCCCAAAGAGGCCTCCAAGAGCACTCCCAAGAAGGCCCCCCGAGGCAAATATCATTGATTTTCTATGGGTTTTTGGTGAATTTTGGGGTTCTCCTCTTTTCGGCTTCCCGACGCTCTAAGACGGCGGTCTTCTGGGCGTCCGAAGCCGCCTGGGAGGCTCCCAAATCGCCCCACAACCATCCGAAAGGGCTTCCAGGCAGTCCAAGAGAGTCCCAAAACGGCACAACACGGGTCCAAGATGGCCCTCAGAGAGCCCCATGGCGGCCCAAGATGGCCCGAAGACACCCTCCGAAGAATTCCAAATCGTGATTCGGTCGTTCAGGGAGACAGCGGTTGGAGGCAGGGTGGCCTGAGGAAGCCCCCGGAGGCCCCCAGAATGCGTCCAGGAGGCCTCCAGAAGGCCTTAAGAAAGCCGGGAACAACTTTTGTGAGACCCCTAGAGGCTCTCCAAGGAGGAGCCTCCGCAAAAAAAAGCTGAGGAGGATGGGGAGAATGCGCAGGGTATGGCGAAAATAAGGAACAAGAAGCATGGAGGAATATAACGAATAACATCATTATAGCGGCGATGCCGGAAAAGGCAACCAGGAGTTATCGCTAAATTGTCGGCTTGACCTTCCTGCCATTCCGCCTGCATGCCAAACTTCAAGGACCAAGGTGCATGGCGCGAAGCGCCACTGCAGTCTTGTGTGTGTGTATATATATATATGTATATCACTGTCTCGTCCATGGGCTGCTGATCAGGGAAGCGTGTGCAAGGGCAAGGGCCTCAGGTCAAGTACCTCCGCAAGTGAACACCCACGGACTTAATGGTATTTCGTAGTTATGCGCTGTTAGCGTGATTGCGCCATCTTTTCTTGACTGACAATGATTTATTGGCCGTATTCCCCCCTCGCATCGATGTTGGTGTCAACGCCCACTTTGACAAGGCAGTGCACGCGGGCACGTGGTTTTCCAAGGACAGTTGTTGTTTTTTGTTGCTCTCTCTCTCTCTCTCTACATATGTAGACATATCCCCCCCTCATTCTCTCTCTCTCTCTGCCTTCCTGTCTTTTCCTCTCCCTCTGCCGCTTTCCCTGTCTCATTCTTGGAGGTTGTCGCGCCGACGGCGGCGCAGCAGCATGCTTCACTCCCTCGGCCTGCTGCTTCCTGCTGCTCTGCTCTGCTGTTCCTTCTGCTCTGTTCCTGCTGCTCTGCTCCGCCTCGCCTCTTCGAAGAAGACTCAGAGATGGCTTCTTCTCGGACGGCCAGATGCCTTCTGAGTCCTCTGATCGCTCTGAACGAAGTGAGCCCCCCCCCTCCCTCCCGGAAATCGTGGGGGGTAGGGGTAGGGCTCGCATGTGGTCCCCTAAAGGCGACAAGAACACCAGCTCGCAAGCGGACGGCGCAAACAATCCCCGAAAAAGCCAGAGGCCACCAACTGCGCCAGGATCGCCTGTCGCTAACCCCCACCCCCACCTCTGCAACACCTTCGGGTTCTTGCTAATCGCGACACGCTCGGGCGCGATTAGGGAGGGAGACAGGAGAGTGGGAGGGAGGATGAGGGATGGACGGAGTTCGGAGAGGTATCGAGGAGGGGAGGAATGAGGAGGAGGAGGAGGAGGAGGAGGAGGAGGAGGAGGAGGAGGAGAAGTAGGAGCAGGGAGAGGAGGAGGAAGATGAAGGGAGAAAAAGGAGGGAGGACGGGAAGGAGAGCAAAGACTCCGCAAGCGAGTTTGAACGCGGAGGTCTCCCAACCTTCGCAGGAGCCGATACCCACCGCTCTGGGCCCAGGCCGAAGCTTGAACACTGGTGGTGACGGAGATCCAGTCCCCCTCGCATCATGAACAAACAAATCGACGGGACGTGTCAGGGAATGTTCGGCCTCCGGGGACCCTCATTGGGCCCCGGAACCGTCAAGGGGTGAAAAAGGGGTCGAGAACGGATACTTTTTAGTCAGCAGCCGCGGGCGAGAGCGCCGGCGGCGAGTCAGGTCAAAGCGGGCTACGCAGCGACGAATCGGCGAGGGAAACGCGGGAAAAACAAACAGAGCGACGGGCGAGGCGACAACTAAGCGCGGCCGAGGCCTCAGAAGAGGGGGCTGCTGGGACAGAGCTGAGGAGAACTGCCGCGTGCACACCGAGAACGGATACTTTTTGATCTGCGGCTCCAGGGACGATTCCAGAGAGCGGGTCGAGAACAGAAGAAAGAAAGAGAACGGATACGCATTGCGGGCAGAATCGCGACGTCGGGGTGGTCAAGGGGCGTTCCCTCTCCCAGGGACCGTCTGCGGGTCCCCCCAGATGTCGTAGGACTTCCTCAGGGTAACCTCCCCGCACTGCTGCTCGCGGGCATTCTCCGCGCCCCGCCCTGGCATGCATGCCACCTCGATAGCCTGCCGAACACGCTCCGTCCGAGATTTGCTGTCTTGTCTCCGCTGTGCCGTATACTGCTCACAGTGCCTCGGCAAAGGAAGGCAAAGACGTACACCCTCTGGCTGCAAGTGGACATGAACCCTTTACCGACTTGAGCAGGCAGCGGAGTGCCCCCCCACGGCACATGCAGATGTGATGCTTGACGACTACTACTACTACTACTACTACTACTACTACTACTACTACTACTACTACTACTACTACTACTACTACTACTACGACTACGACTACGACTACGACTACTACTACTCCTGCTACTACTACTACTACTACTACTACTACTACTACTACTACTACTAAAACTACTACTACTAATACTGTCTACTACTACTACTGATACTACTACTACTACTACTACTACTACTACTACTACTACTACTACACTACTACTACTACTACTACTAATACTAATACTACTTCTACTACTACTACTACTACTACTACTACTACTACTACTACTACTACTACTACTACTACTACTACTACTACTACTACTACTACTACTACTACTACTACTACTACTACTACTACTACTACTACTACTACTACTACTACTACTACTACGTACTACTACTCAACTACTACGACTACGCTACGACTACTACGACTACTACTCGACTACTACTACTACTACTACTACTACTACTACTACTACACTACTACTACTACTACTACTACTACTACTACTACTACTACTACTACGCTACTTACTATATACATTACTCCATCTACTACTACTACTACTGCCTACTACTACTACTACTACTACTACTACTACTACTTACTTATACTACCTTTACTACTACTCGACTACTACTACTACTACTACTACTACTACTACTACTACTACTACTACTTACTACTACTACTACTATACTACTACTACTACTACTACTACTACTACTATACTACTCCTACTACTACTACTACTGCTACTACGACTACTAATTACTACTACTACTACTACTACTACTACTACTTACTAACTACTACTAGTACTACTACTACTACCATTACTCCTACTACTACGACTACGTCTATTACTACCACTACTACTACTACTACTACTACTACTACTACTACTACTACTACTACTACTACTACTACTACTACTTCTACTTCTTCTACTACTACTACTACTACTACTACTACTACTACTACTACTACTACTACTACTACTACTACTACTACTACTACTACTACTACTACTACTACTACTACTACTACTTACTACTACTACTACTACTACTCCTATCCTTATTCCTTATTAGAATATACTCCTACCCCCCCCAGGCCGGCCATTAGGGGCCGCATCCGGGGGGCCGCATCCGGGGGGTCGCATCCGGGGGGTAAAAAACAATACAAAATCAACATGTTTCTTATTTTTTCCTCTCGACATGGACGTCCTGTCGTCCACGGCGCTGATCCATTGCAAAAAATACCACAAAGAGCACGCGCGCGCGTTCATGTCAGAATCCTACCGAACACCTTGTGTTTGCAAGCATTTCAACATAAAAACATCAAAAACCCAATGCTTTTTCACAAAAATTCTACAAATTTCCTGCCCGGGCTCTCTTGCTGAAATCATAGGAAAACCATAGGAATCTTAAGAATTCGGTCAAATCCAGCGATTTCACGTCATCGCGCGGTGCACTCGCGATGCTCTGTCATGCACCCAGGCCGCGAATCCTGTGCAAAAAATACAACAAAGAGCACACTCGCGCGTTCATGTCAGAATCCTACCGAACACCGTGTGTTTGCAAGCATTTCAACATAAAAACATCAAAAACCCAATGCTTTTTCACAAAAATGCTTTGGGGTGTCCTGTCAGACCGTCGGGCTTCCTCCGGCCACCTCTGGCTTCCTGCGGTGTACCGGGCCATTCTCGACTCGTCTGGCAATGCGTGCGCGGCATTCAACACGCGCTCGCCAGTTCCCGTCGGCAACCGCCATCGCGGCCGCATCAGCTGTACCAAACCGGCTGGCCGGTGTGACTTCGGCCCCCAGTTGTGCCAGCTTTGCTTCTTATGTTGTGGGAGGGCGGGTGGGACTGGGCATGCCATGCTTGACTCGCTCGAGCTGGCTAGCTTGACTCCTACTCCTACTCCTACTACTACTACTACTACTACTACTACTACTACTACTACTACTACTACTACTACTACTACTACTACTACTACTACTACTACTACTACTACTACTACTACTAGTACTACTACTACTACTACTACTACTACTACTACTACTACTACTACTACTACTACGACGACGACGACGACGACGACGACGACGACGACGACGACGACGACGACGACGACGACGACGACGACTACTACTACTACTACTACTACTACTGCTACTGCCACTTCTACTGCGACTGCTACTACTACTACTACTACTACTACTACTACTACTACTACTACTACTACTACTACTATTACTACTACTACTACTAGTAAGAATACTACGTATAATAGTAATACTAATAATGATCCGACTGGCCAACTTAGGGGCTCGGGGGCCTACCACTAACCGGGTCCCCTTACCTTGGGTCCTGTCTATACCCGACTGAGAACTTCCGGGAGCCCCAGAAGCTCCTCAGCCAGCCCAAGACGACCTCACGAATCCTTGAGTGTCTCCAGAACCGACTCAGATTGGGAAAGAGAGGGCCCCAGGGCGACCCCAGACAGCTTTCAAGACGGCCCAGTGTGGCCCTAAGACGACCCAAGGGGCCCACGAGACGTTCCAAGAAAACCCCAAGAGAACCGACAACAGAGTACCAAGAAGCAAACGTCATCGCACTCCCCTCGGGAAGCACAAATTTCCAGCACATTCGCCTCTTCGGCTTTCTCAGCGTCCAAAACGGCCCATGAGGCCCCAAAGATGGACGGCCTAAGAGGACCCCATGAGGGGCACGATAATGGCCTCAGTTTTTTTTTTTGTCCCCGAGGGGCCGAACCATGTTCGGGCCACGGTTGGCCCGCGCGCGGGCGCCCCACGGGCCGCGCCCGGGGCGCCGCTGGCGCGCTCACACCTTGGCCGAGCGGGCCCAGGGACGGCCGTCACCTACCAACCCTCTCCCACGACCCCCGCGGGCACGGCCTCGCGGGGGCCAACAGCCAGGGAGGGAGTTGGTCGGTTCCTAGGCACCCCGGGCCCGCCCCAACGGGCCACGACACGACGGACGACACGACAGCGACGGCGACGACACGACGGGGAGGACGGGCCACCAGGCACGACCCCAACACGGCGAACCGGGGAGGGGGTCCCGGCCGTGCTGGGGGCTGCGCACCCGGCGACCCCCCGGGGGAAGGGGACCGCGCTTTGGCGGCCATCCCACCGGGTGCGAGGGCTTGTCGCCCCGGAGGTCCAGCGCTCCCCGCCTGCGCCCGAGGGCTGAACAGCCCGACCCCACTCTTGGGGGCCCCCCCGGGGCTATAATGGCCTCAGAAGAGAACCGCGAACTTAAACTTCGAGCCCTCCGGCCGAGGACGACCTGCGAGACCCCAAAACGACCTGAAGATGCACTCAAAAAAGCTCCAGGCCCCAAAGACAACCCGCAACCGCCTCCCAGAGGCTTCCGAAAGGCCTCCGAAGAGATCCCCACAGGCATCCAACAAGCAACTGGCCTCCAACCGAGGCGCGATGGCGGGATGGGCGCGCTGTCCTGCTAACAAGTCTCCCGGCCGAGGCTCGCTAGACCCGCCGCCCCCTGCGCTTGCCACATGGGTCCTTGGCGTGCCGGGTGTCGCAGCTCTTGTCGGCCCTTCCAAAAGGTGCCCAATGGACTTCGGCGAAACCCGCCAAAGGGCTATCCCACGTGCTTTTCCGTCCAAGATGGCTCCAATATGGCCTCCGAAACGGCCCGAAGACGCCTCCAAGACGGCCGGAATGGTCCCACGATAGCCTCAAGACGGCCCGATAGGCCCCAAGATGCCCCGAGAAGTATATAAGAGGTTCCCCAGGAGGGCCTCGCGAGGGAAAGCACAATGACTGTCCAAATATTTGTTCCACTCATTTTCGGGTTACCCCCTCTGTCCGTATGAGCGACCAAGACGGCGCAAGGAGATCCCAAATCAGACCAAGACGGCCGACCAGGGTTCCAAAAGGGCGCCCTTACGGCCAAAGAGAACCTCACGAGGCCCCCACAAGGCCTAAACGGCAAGAGAACATTGCCCCACGACGTCCCCCCACGCCCAATGTTTCCTCAGCGGCTTCCCGAACAGCCAGGGGGGGCGGTGCACGAGCGTAGCCGCACGGTCGCGGGACTTGTTATCGACACAGGCGTGTCCAAAGGCAGCGGGCAGCAATGACGCGCCGAAGCCGTTCTCGGTGATCAATGACAGGACGTCCACATGACAAGGATACAATGCTTACGGCAATACCCGCTCGCCTGCAGATGCATATACTGCAAATGCAAGAATCGGCCATACGAGTAAACCCACGCAAGCACCATCACACGAATATCGATCAAGAACTCTCGGATGATAACTACCAAACGCGCGCAAGTGGCTGGCAACATGTGGAGCCCAGCCGTCTCTCCGCCACTGAATCGGCCATGCATGTTACACGGTAGCGCTGGAGGTGGTTAGGAACATCGCAGGTCCGTGCTGACTTCGGCATCACGTCATGGGCGCTCGTCCAAGACCCAACTCGAATCAGAACTTCTACCTTGTCCGAGTCCCGATGATTCCCTACCCACAACGAAAAAAGCCGACGACGGACTGAACCTAATATATCCGAGACCACGAACTACTGCCCTTGCAAATTAGCCTGGCGAAAGGCCCAACCATATGCAGTTGTGAGTACCGCAGTTGTGAATATCTTCTTCGGTGGCGCTCCATATGGGGCCACGAGGCGCTGTACTGGGTGGGTGAAGCGCAGGGAGCAAGGGCCGTGTTGGGTGGTGGCGGACGCATGCGGGCGGTGCCACTGGGACCTTCCGTGGAGCTCCCTATGGGGCCACGAAACGCTGTACTGGGTAGGTGAAACACAGGGAACAAGGGCTGTGCTGGGTGGTGGCGGACGCATGCGGGCGGTGCCACTGGGACCTTCGGTGGAGCCCCCTATGGGGCTACGAAACGCTATACTGGGTGGGTGAGACGCAGGGAGCGAGGGCTGTGCTGGGTGGTGGCGGACGCATGCGGGCGGTACCACTGGGACCTTCGGTGGAGCTCCCTATGGGGCCACGAAACGCTGTACGGGGTGGGTGAAACGCAGGGAGCAAGGGCTGTGCTGGTTGGTGGCGGACGCATGCGGGCGGTGCCACTGAGACCTTCTGTGGAGCTCCCTATGGGGCCACGAAGCGCTGTACTGGGTGGGTGAAACGCAGGGAGCAAGGGCTGTGCTGGGCGGTGGCGGACGCATGCGGGCGGTACCAGTGGGACCGTCGGTGGAGCCCCGTATGAGGCCACGAAGCGCTGTGCTAGGTGGGTGAAACGCATGGAAGAAGGAGGAGGGAGGGGAGGAGGGGGGGGAGGGGGAGGAGGAGGAGAGGAGAAGAAGAACGCGGGGACCGTCTCTTCAAAACGAGGGCCAAACACCACAGGATGGTTGGGACAAAAAACTGGACATAGCATGAACTGGACCGGCACCGACAGAGAACATAGATTGCGCCAACCAGAGAATTGGCTGGTCTGTCCAACGTGGGCACTTGGACGAGGACCATGATCAGGCAAGACATTCGCATGAAGACGACAAGAGACGCAACACGAATTGCGATTATCACAGTAGCCAGCAACCCCGTGCCGCCTTCCCTGCGTCGGGGTCGATCACCATGACGTTGGCCCCTCTTCTATCGAAGAAGCCGTTGATGCCTTCGCCGCAAAGGAGCCATCACTCACTCTAGTAGGTGGCATCCATCCTGGACAGGCAGCAATGCTTCCATGCACGCAGTATGCGCAGGACGTGCAGAGCTGCTGCGAGCATGATTGCAGCTCGTTGAAATGAAGATTCACGGTCAGGGGTGTCTGCGCGCGAACGCTGCCGACGCTTCGATTCAACGTTGAGCCATTCTGGAAGATATAGGTTTTGCTAGCGCGAACGTCGCTCCAACCTGGAAGGATACCTTGGATCGCATTGCGATTGCCCCAATTACAGCCAACCCGTATAATAAAAGAGGCACGATGAGGATGCAAGGGCCTCTGAAGGCCATGTCGACACTTTGCGAGCGGTGCGCGGCCAGCGAAAGAGGGCCACGGATGGGCCGAAGGGGGAAGCTGCAAGGGTAGCCCTGGAAAGTTGCTCGTCCTTACCATGCGGGTTGACTAATTAGACGTTGCTCGCGCACAATTCGCTCCAGCCTATGGAACGGCTTGCGATTGCCTGGGTTACATGCTCGTGCGAGGCAAGACATGGAAAAAACCTGCAGCGCGGCGCGACAGAGCAGAGCACAAATACCTTTCGCGGACGCAGTGCTCGCTGGCCCCCGCTGTGGACCCAGACCGTGGGGGGGCTTCGATGGTCTGCTGCCTCGCGGGTGCCCCGAGAGGCTCCCAAGAGGCCCCCAAAGAGGCTCCCAAGAGGCCCAAGAGTTCCTTCCCAGAGGCCCCCTAGAGCGTTCCGACGAGACCCCAAGCAGCATCCCTCTGGCCCTCGTCAGCGCCGTCGTCGTCTCCGCCGCCGCCGCCGTTGTCGTCGGCGTCCCCCTTCAGGGTCGGCGGCACCGGCGGTACGGCCTTCGCAATATCCCTCGCGAAGGCACTACTCGCTGGCCCCCGCTGTGGACCCAGACTGTAAGGGGCTCTGATGGACTGCTCCCTTGCTGGTGCCAGTGACTTCTGTCTCTCGGCATGCTTCTTGTTCCCTGCCTCGGATCTCTCTGATCCTGTCTCCTTTCTGCTGTCTTCTGGGGGGCGGCAGCGCTAACAAACAGCCACCCAGTGGGGGGGTCCACCAGTCCCCTGCGCCAGGGAACGGGATCCAGCACCGATCCCAGAAATCTGCGGGGACCTTCGGAGAGTCTGTGCTGTTGGCCTGTTTCGATGCTCCTCCTCCGCCTCCTCCTCCTCTTCCTCATCCTCCCGTTCCTCACTCCCCCCTCTCCTCCCACCTCACCTTCTCTCTCCTCCTCCCCATCCTCCTCCTCCTCCTTCTCCTCCTCCTATTCCTCCTATTCCTCCTCCTCCTCCTCCTCCTCCTCCTGCTCCTCCTCCTCCTCCTCCTCCTCCCCCTCCCCCTCCTCCTCCTCCTCCTCCTCCTCCTCCTCCTCCTCCTCCTCCTCCTCCTCCTCCTGGGGCCCGCGCCTACGAGGCGGCCGTCGAAGAAGAAGTCGGCGCGGTTGCCGTTCTCGTACCCTGAGCTGACTATCTTCACGGCCGTCTTCGCGCCCGCCTGTGGGGCGGCGGCTGGCGGTGTCGCAGCACTCCCGCTTGGACAGTCTCCCCTCGCCATGTTCGATCGGCGCGGAAGACTTTGTCGACAGCGATCGCTCACCCCCTTCTAACAGCTTCAATACAAAACAAGCACCCACAACTGGAGCGTCGATAATGCAACATCCATTGTGAGCTTGACGCTGAACACTTGATAATGTTACCGGGACGCTCCAAGGGCGTTCCCAGCGCGGAACATCACCACCGTGCCTTCATCGCGGAATGTAGTGCCCCAAGGCTCATTTGAGAACTGGATAAGGACTTTGTTAAGGCGGATTCCAAATGGCCTGGGCCATGAATTTCCTGGGATTGCTGGGGGCTCCTGGGGTTTGTCGCGTGGGCCTATGGGACGATGACTCGGCCCAGAACGACCCGAATAACTCCCACGCCCCCCCCCCCCAAACCTTTACTGAGAAGCGCTCCAGAGGGTCCATACGTGCCACGAGAGGGCCCCAGAGAGCCTCAAGACACTGCGCACGATACCCTCAAGACGGCCCGAAGGGCCCCCAACCCCATGAAGCCACAAGAGGGCTGAAAGATGCCCCCCACGAAGGCCCCGCAGGACCAAACTTATTCATTTCACGTATGTGTTTGAAGGATGTTTGCGTTCTTACCTATTCCGGCTTTTGACGCTGCAAGACGGCCTATAAGAGGCACCATCGCACGAAAACGGCCCGAGATGGGTCATAAGACTAGGGGAACGAAAAATTACATTAACATACAAACTCTGAGGTCCACGCGGATTTCTCGGATCGCCTCTGGACCCCCTCCCTGGCGCGCTCCGCGCGCCAGGGGCGGCGCCGGAGGCGCCGCCAGGGGGCCCCAGCGCGGATCCGAGAAATTCGCGCGGACCTCCGAGTTGTTATGTTTATGTCATTCTTCGTCCCCCTAAAGTCGGCGGTGGACAAACTTCCCTGCAGTAAACCTCCCCTCAGTGAAAACGGCCTGGGACCGAAACCTACGGACCTGGACCCGCAAAAGTGACGGCCGCGACGCCCTCTCGAGAACCGAAAACGGCCAATTCGCTAATCGACGTGTCAGGGTAGGAGGTCTATCCACCCGCGATGTTCCTCCTCTGACCCCGAGCAGCCCCCCGCTTCTGGCGGCGCCCCTGGGGCGCGGAGCGCCCTGGGATTCAGCTGCCGAGTGCTCCCGACTGCTCGGGCGGCCCGGCCAGGACTGGTTTCATGTCGGGCATGTCCTCCTACAGGCGGATTTTTGGGGAAAAAGAAAACATGGAGGAAACATAATCAAACATATATTTAAAGAAGAAGTCAGGGTAGGGGGTCAGGGTAGGAGGTCTATCCACCTCCGAGAAAGGCGGCCCAAGAGGGGCCCAAGAGAGGCCCCAGAGGGGGAACAGGAGTCGACGTTCCGAGGCCCCCCGCTCCAAGAGGACCTCCGAGGCCGCGAGCAGGACCCCCCGGGAGGCCCCCCCCCCAGAAGCTCCAGGAGACCCCACAAGAGAGGAGGAGGAGGAGGAGTAGGAGAAGGAGGAGGAAGAGGAGGAGGAGGAGGAGGAGGAGGAGGGGGAGGAGGAGGAGGAGGACGAGGAGAAGGAGGAGGAGGAGGCGGAGGAGGCCCACGACATCCCATCCCGCCCCCAATTGTCGTCCGAGAGGCCTTCCAAGAGATCCACACAGGCATCCAGGATGCCTCCGGCCTGCAACCCAGGCGCAGTGGCGGGATGGGCCGAATGGCACTAGATCCGCCGCCCCCTGCTTGCAGGGGTGCACGGCGTGCTGGATGTTTCAGGTTTTGGTTTTGGTTCTTTTTCCAAAAGAACTCCCCAGTGGGCTCCGGCCCGTCCCGCCGGGGTCCCGGGAGGAAGCCGAAAACACCTCAATCCGAAAAAAATCCTCCAAAAACGGCCGTTTCGCTCGGGACATCCTCAAAAAATCGCGAAGATGGCCCAAGATGGCCTCCAAGTCCGCCCGAGATGGTCCAAGACGGCCTCCAAAACGGCCCAAGAGAGTCCAAGACGGCCCAAGACGGCCCAAGAGGCCCCCCAGAGGCCTCCCAGACGGCCCAAGAGGCCTCCAAGAGGTCCTCCAGGAGAGTCCGAAGAGGCCAAAATCATTGATTTTCATTGGCATAAGACGGAAGACCTTTTTTTGGCCACGGCTCAAGACGGCCCAAGAAGCCCCCAAGATCGCCCAAGAGGCCCCCAAGAGAGCCCCCTGATGGCCCAAGTGGCCTCCAAGATGGCCCCTAGAGGGCCCCAAGACGGCCCAAGAGGCCTCCAACACGCCCAAGATGGCCTCCAAGACGCCCAAGATGGCCTCCAAGACGGCCCTGGAGCGCCCCAAGAGGGTCCCCCGTTGGCCCAGAAAGGCCCCCAAAACGGCTCCCGACGGCGTCAGACGTGCCAGGAACCCACCAAGATGGCCGAAGTTGGCTCGAAGCTGGCCCAAAAGGGCCCAAGAGGCCCCCAAGAGGGCCTCCAGGAAGGCCAAAAGATGCCAAAATCACTGATTTTCCCAAGGTTTTTGCTGGATTTGGGCATTTCCCTTTTTTCGGCCTTCCGACGGCCCGAGACGGCCCAAGAGCCCCCAAAGATCGCCGAAAGATCGCCCAAGAGGCCTCCAAGACGGCGACGATGACCATCAAGACGCCCACGTGTTCCCCGAAGGCTTTCCAAACCGAGTCGGGGAACACATGGTCCGATGGCTTGGCAGGTGTGGCCTCAACGTTCGGCCACATAGGCGCTTCCACAAAGGCAGGGGGCGGCGGTGATTCGCCGTAGGCGTCTTCGATACGTTGCGAAAGTCCCACACGGGGCAAATATGGATCGCGCCCAGGACATTACCCTGAAATTGCCGGCACAGAATTATTTTGAAATGCTTACTTTCTTTCTGGAGATGTCTACCTCTGGCATCTTTGAACTCAACATGCTTTCTGAGCCAGTTCAAAAGAGAAGGCCTCGGGGCGATAGGCTGGGGCCGCTCAACTGCATACTCAGGAGCAGCTAAAGGCCAGCCCAGGATGCCCTGGGCACCATGATGGAACACTTCGGGGAGCGTGCCTTCACTTCCGCTGGCCTCACCCTCGTTCTACCTCCGCCGCCTGCCGCGGAACCTCCGACGGCCTCTGCCAGGGACGATGCGCATCCTCCGCTTTCTCGGAGACGAAGACCTGCGCGGGGGCCCTGCATGGGGGCACTGACAACCGGTGCCACCGATTCGAATCGTCGCCCCTCTCTAGGTGGACCCGCCCCCTAAGAAGAAACCGGCGTGAAACCTACCGCGACGATACAGCCAAGAGGCTACAATAACAACATCAGAGTGAGGGGGGCGAACAGTCATTCATTGTCCCTGGGTGCGTGGCTGAAGAGGGGTCCGCGGTGAAGATTCTGCTTGTTGCGTTGAGTGTTAATTCCCTAAACATTTATTATTGTTGGACCCCTTATAGGCACCCTGGCGCTCTCGCCTCGGCGCTGGCTGCATTTGCATTGAAAATGAGGCTCACGCTCGAGACTCCCGCTCGGGACTTCCTCGGGACCCCTACAACAACAACACTCCCGCTCGGGACTTCCTCGTTTTTTACTCAAGGCCGGTGCTCTTGCTCGCCTCCGAAAGCCTCCAGCGCTCCCGCTCGAGACTTCCTCCCGATTTACCTTGGACTGGCGCGCTGCTCTTTCTCTCATCGGCGCCGCCCCCAGCAACAACAACGCTCCCGCTCGAGACTTCGTCCCTTTTTTACTCAAGGCGGTGCTCCTCCTCGCCGCCGAAAACCGCCGCATCGACAAAATCAGCGCTCCCGCCCGAGACGTCCTCCCCTTGTACGCTGGACTGGCGCCCCATTGCCTTTTGAATTGGTGCCGTTCCCAGCAAGAACAACGCTCCCGTTCGAGGCTTCCTCCCTTTTTCCTCAGGACGGTGCTTTTCCTCGCCGTCGACAACCTCCGTCCCGACAAAACCACGGCTCCCGCTCGAGACTTCCTCCCTTCTTACCCAAGCAGGTGCTCTTCCTCGCCGCCGACAACTGCCGTCCCAACAAATCCAGCGTTCCCGCTCGAGACTTCGTTTTGTGTTCGCTGGACTAACGCCCTTCTCTCTTCAGTATTGGCGCCGCCCCCAGCAACAACAGCGGCCCTGCTCGAGACTTCCTCCCATTCTATTCAGGGCCAGGTCCTTGCCTCGCCGCCGACAGCCCCCCTCCTCACCAAGGCAATCCTGTCGCTCGATACGTCGTTATGCTTTACCCTTGGCTGGGGCTCCACTGGCGGTCTCGCATCGGCGCAGCAAGGCGCGGGCATGCGTTTTCGAGGCTGGATATGTGGAAATTATTTGGAGGAAGTGTTTGCAAGACCTCATTGGGCGGGAGATCTGGGAATGGCAATAACGGACCCCGCTATAGAACAAAACTCCCCCATGATGGGGATGGTTAGCATGATGGTCGCATGTTTCGTGTGGAAACATTGCGCATGAGGGTAAAATAATTGTTATCGTTGTTGTTCTTGTTGTTGTCGTTGTTGTGTTGTCGTCGTCCCACCCGCGCCCCACCCACGACCACCCCGCGACCCACAACGGGACCCACCCCGCGACCCACCCGGCGACCCACCCCGCGACCCACCCCACGACCCAACCCGCGACCAACCCGCGACCCAACCCGTGACCACCCACGACCCACCCGCGACCCACCCGCGACCCACCCCACGACCCACCCGCGACCCAACCCGCGACCCAACCGCGACCCACCTCACGACCACCCGCGACCCACCCGCGACCCACCCGCGACCCACGCCGCGACCCACCCCGCGACCCACCTCGCGACCCACAACGGGACCCATCCGCGACCCACCTGCGACGCACCCACGACCCACCCGCGACCCACCCGCGGTCCACTCCGCGACCCACCCGCGACCCACCCGCGAATTACCCGCGACCCAACAGCGACCCACCCGCGACCCATTTGCGACCCACCCGCGACCTACCCACATTGGTTTAACGAAGAGATCGGCGCCTGCGGCGGGCTTCCCCAGAGTCGTGCAAACTGCCGGCGTCCCCACCGACCCCTCACTCTTATCCACACCTGCGGGGTGTTACGTACAAGATCTTGCGTTCGGACCGCTGCTCAGAATTAGATCGTGGAACCTACAGTCGGCCCGAATCATGAGGATGCGCGGCAAGGATGCAGAGGCCTTAGAGGCCCATGCTGACGTTCCTCGCACGAGGCTGGCCAGCGGAAGCCGCTAAGGATGGGCCGAAGGGGCAGGGATGCATAAAAACTCGGAAATCCGCGCGGATTTCTCGGATCGGCGCTGGACCCCCCTCCCTGGCGCGCGGGGCGCGCCAGGGCGGCCTCGGAAGCGCCGCCAGGGTGGTCCAGCGCGGATCCGTGAAATCCGCGCGGACTTCCGAATTGTTATGTTAATGTCATTCTTCGTTCTCCTAAGGTTGCCCATTGCATTCGTGGCTGATGCTCGCCGTGGCGCGAAACGCATCCACCGTCCCCGATGGCAACACGAGGACTGCAACGGCGCACGGCCGGAGGGCGCGCCGACCGCAAGGTACCAACCGCAGGGCGCCGTGTGGCACCCGTCCTACGGCATACGGCCACACGGCGTCATGCAGACTGCGCCACATCGACTGTACGGCAGAGATTTGGCCACACATGCGCGACTTCGGAAACCCTGAACCCAAAAACGCTTTCCTCTCTGGGGGGGCGCATCTTTTATTTCAGCCGCCTTCCACCGCCTTTCCGCCAGCTTCCGCCCGCAGTGGCGGCCTCATTTTACTTCCGCCGACCTTCCGCCGCCTTCTGCGGCGGAAGAGATGACAACCCCTTCGGTCCTCGAAGGCAAGGCTCTTTTTGGAACACAACATACGTTGATTCATGCAGGTTGTCACTCGAATGCAATATCAGCTCGACCACAAGAAACCTTCCCCAAGAAACCCGACCCTGAGCCCCAAGAATGTCCACGGATTTTTGGTGTGGGAACGTCACGCTCTCCGTCGCAAAACCATCGAAACCCAAGAAACCCAGGGCACCCTGGAGGCAAGCAGTGTGTTTCTTGGCATGGGCTTCCACTGTGGTGTGCCACGCACATTGCTCCACAGCGTTGCTCCATACAGGC